TGTCATTTTTCGTGCATATTTTTTTACACTCCTAATTTTTTGACGGCTACACCAAGAAGAAAAACAATTTTTCCTAGAAGAGGCTTGTAAGCCAGAAGACACGTGCAAATAATGACGCGAAATCTCAAAATAAATCTTTGATCTTGAATCTTTTTTGTATCCACTGTGATGGTAAATTTAGCAGCATTAGGTATCTCGGTGCATAATTCATCGATCTAAGCCAATTCATTGTTGCACTCAGTGGTCCCTTCAAACCGATCTTTCGACCATAACATCTCTCTTTTTTTTTAATGCATTTTGGAAAAGACAACCTTAACTCTGTCATTCTGTTTGCTTTTGGTTTTTGTTATCTTTTGTGCTTGGCTTGTATATATTACGTTTTTTTACAATTTACCTAATTGCAAATGCTATATTTTTATAAATTGTAAACCTTGCCTTTTTATGTTATCAATTATGATAACATTAGTACGACTCTGCTTTGCGTGTTGTTGCGTTTTTTAAAACTCTCAACATCTTCCACTACTATGTTTCACCTAAGACATTTTTTGCAGTATTACCTTATTTGCATTTTCTGGGTGGGTCCTACACAATGAATCTATTCACATAATTTAAAACCAAAGGGATGTTTTGAAAAAACTCTGCTGTTCTTTCACATATTACTCAATAAAGCTACTTTTTTGTCGTCTGTGTCACGCAAGGCCACAAGCAATGAGCCTTTTATTTGAGTCCAGCTTTGGTGTTTTACGTGTAATGGACCAAGAGTTCTTCGTTTTGTGTGCACCAAATTCCTTTTTTTTGGGGGGGGGGCGCTTCCGGTGTGTACCGGCCAGCTGGTTTCTCGTCTAAAATGTGTACACTTTAAAAATAAAAAAAAAACGCGCTCGTTATATTGTACAATGTGCTATGCTGCTTCGGGCTGCAGTGCGGTCAGCAGCAACTTCAATAGCAATAATGTCGAATAACCTTTATTTGAGCGAAAAAGGGGAGGTATGTGAATAAGAAAAAAAAAAAAGAGGGAGATCATCTTCACACTAGGCGCGACAGAGAAGTACCAACACGTACGCGGAACGCCTGCCAGCCATCCGCCCGGGAAGATTGGTCGACGCCGCCGTAACTGGCGGACGTCCGTGGGGGCCCACGTTCATCACCGACGGACACGGATGTGATATTTGCGAAGTGGAATTGAATGGCTGCGCGCGAGACAAAGCGGCTGATTTGCAGTAAGTACTGATCGCTACTGTTGTGTTTTGGTTGGCACTCTACCACATCAGTGTCTTGTTTATGCGACCGCCAATCACATCGTGTTTGTGAAACACATCCCGCGAGCAATTAATCTCGAGCACACATTTCTTATCGGGCAAATGAGGACTAACAGAAATAATCAAGGCGTAGCGTTCAAACCGTCGTATCACGAACTTGCAAGCGTCACTTTAGACGTAATGAAACTAGACACTTTGAAACGACTTTGATTACGCCTTCGCAGAATGAAAACAGCTGACAGGGGTAGTGGGCGCCGTGCTAGCCAGGGCCATTGAGGCGATGACGCCAGTTTTGCGTGCGGCGTCGAGCTCCACGAAGATACGCAAGGTCAGAGTGCCATACAGTATTCTGTATTGTCGCTCCCAGATGGCGCGACAATCTGCTTCCTCGTGCAGTGCTGGCCAATTATGTGTCTAGGTTTCGGAACGATGTTTTGCGACTCATATGATTGAATTACTCTGAGACACTTTCGAATTCCGCCATGTTATCACATTCCACCATTGATCGATGCTTATTGACCCAGTGGACTTCTACGACCTCTCTGATTGGCCTAAAAGGCCGCCATTACAAAATCTGACAATACAGTAGAATTATACAGTGCCCAGGGCTGTGTCCAATTCTTAGACAGCACGTATATAGTCTACGCAGACTGCTTAGAAGACAGCATCAAGCCCATGCTGTCCGAGAATTGTAACACTTTTCGACGGCTTTTGCGCGACGATGCGCCACCTCACGTCGAGAAGAAAAAGCTAAAATAACAAACGTAAAAAAAACGTAACATTTCGTGTTAAAATTAAACGAAAAAACGTTACTCACATTGAACGTCTGGAAAAGCGTCTGTTTGTGTGCAGACGACCATCCTGGCGAGATTTGATCTATCTGAGCGATTCGCTGAGCCACCATCTTGTTTAGACAGCAAAGTAGCCTGCGTCGTATTTGTCTACGATGCGGTTTTTTCAGAGCTGTCTATTTTGCCGGCTGCGTCAAAATTGGAATGGGACTTGAGATGGCCGCCGTCCATTTAGCTGTCTACTTAGCCGTCTACGGTAAGTATTGGAACACAGCCCATAATAGCACCCCTGGAAAATTCAACTGCCAGGGTATGCATTGCTCTCCACTGCGTTCTAGATTTGGCATCAAGATTTAATAAATTATTTTTTGCAACACTCGAAAACTAACGTGTTTGTTTTTCTCTTGAAATTAGGTATTATCTATTAATGGAAATAACAGTACAGTATTAGGTGAGAACACCTATCCTTCTGTTTCTCTGCGACGCTAGGTGCGTCTATCTCAATGCTCTACCCCAACGCACCTCTGGGTTTGTTGAAAAATCAAATCAGCGGAGCGTGACGATGCGTCTACTTAGCTTCGTCATTGTTTCACTGTCGATTTAAAAAGACCTTAGGTAAGACGCACTCGTAAAAAACTCGAAGTCGAAGCAATATTCTGCACCGACAGGAGGCGCTACATCTATAGGCACAGCGGTGAGTGGGTGATGCTTTCGTTTAAACTGTTAAATACGAATCGTAAAGCTCCAACGTCACAGCAATCAGGATATATAGTGGCCATAAGCCTTTTCGAACAACAAAGGCACAGCTTCAGCGCTTTCCACCACACCCCAGTACCCGCGCTGCGCGAAGAACAAAACAGAAAGCGAGACGCTAACCTCTTTTACTCAAGGGCTAAGGATTAGCCGATGCCATACTTGTGCGCCAACATCTTCTTATATATCATATAAAAAACAAAAATGAAACTGTAGAAAAACGTCGGCACAGAGTTCGCTAGCTTTCCTATCAAATTCTAAGCCTGTACTTCTCATATTTCTCATAGAAATACATGATCTAGGTCTCATTGTATAAACCTCAATAGTTAAATTAGATCTGTTCAATGAGATCTTCCCTTGAACATGTAGTGCAGGTGTTTGCAAGCATCTTTCCGGGCATAGCGAGATGGTTGCTGGTGAGAACCTCGAGGAGATGTTATGCTGGTTAGCCCCAACAACTGTAAAGAACTTTGCCTTTTGTTTTTTTAAGGGCAGGTGAGCGGCATGGTGGTAAGGCAGTGTATACATTGGGTGAATATGCTCACGGAGCGTATCGGCTGCTATATACGTCATAAACAGGTTGTTATTGGAAATGCCAATGTTTGCGACCTTGTTAGCACACCTCGGTTAGCACACCTTGTTAGCACACCATACTCTAGCCTGTGCAAAAACTTAGCATTGAATTCTTGCGGGACCTGTTCGTTAGTCTGCCTGGCATTTGACAGCGCGGGTGCGATATACCACAAACACCTCTTAACAGCTCAAGCAAGGTTGACACGGCTGTGCCCCACGTTTTACCGGCAAGATATTTCATTACTTGGGCGATAAAGGTGAGCCTCTTCTTCAAGTGCTAAATGTGCGAACTCCACGAAAGGTCTCTGTAAATGATTGGGGCCAAGAATAGGTGACATCTCGAATATAAATTTCTTAGATTGCCAATTAAATCAGAATAGCAGAATATTATACCTGAATGACAATATTAACAACTGAGCTACTTCTGAGCAGACACCTTTCACTTTTATGTGTTATGCAGATTTCTAGATTTAAAAAATTAGCCACGTTTGTTTCGTTTTCGCAGTAGCTTTCTACTTTCGAACTCTTTTTGGCCGCGCATTGGGTGAACTTTTTCTTCATCTGTTCAACCTTTTTTATTTGCTCGGTTTCGGAGTCGTTCTACAATCTTAGGCAACTGGGTGCCTTAGTGAAGAGCTTCGGAAACATAGACCTGTGGGTGTTTCTTAAAATGCCCATTAAATCTAACTACAATGGTCTTGAACCTTTCGAGTCTGGCGCAATGCGATCACCGAAGCCAGGATTCAATATTCAAATATACAAAAACCATGCATCTCAAGGCTTATTCTTTCTGGCATATGCATGGGAATTCGTGCATGACGTAGTCGATGCGTTCGCCACTAAAGCGAAGACGAAATAAATTGTAGAGAAGGATAAAACAGAGATGCAGCGAAAAGTGGTCGCGTGCGTTTTCGTACCAAAGGCGAGTCACGTTATGTTATGTTGTTCAACACGTCATGGTCTTAGCAGCGCAGCGTTTTCTTTTTGTGGCCCTCGTGGCCAATAGGGAAAGGCACATAACATCCCATAAAGTAACTTTGATAATTTACCAGCCTACTTACATGTACATGATCCTAAACATCAGAAATGCTATGCTGCGCGTTCACTTGGTAAAAAGTTTATTACTTTTACCAGGAAAAAGCATGTGTTCTTATTAAAAAATGATATTATGACATTACCGAATATTCAGGTTGACGTGATGGTAAATTTACGAAATAATTTCTACATGCCGAACTAATATTATTATGCACAAAAAAACTAGTACTTCCAATTTTGGCTTGCTACATGCGAAGCACGTTTGTTCTTATCTTTTTAAAGATTTAGGTAGACAGCAAGTAGATGGGCGATTAAGTGCGTATCTAGCGTGATGAAAAACCAAAAATGGCATATAAAAAATTCTTTGTCCACTTGGCCTCACACCTTAAACAGTCAGCGCTTATTTTCCATCTAAGTATAATTTAGCAGGCTTCTTTTGAACAAAGGTAGATGTATTTTATGAGATTGATAGGTTTAACAACATAAACTACTTTGGAAGTAGTAATCAGTCATAGTCATCGCTGGTATTGGATGTACTGTTGTCTACTTGAAGCACCAACATATATTTGTTTCAACAACATTTATTTCCCAAACTCACGAGTTTATTAGGAATGCCATCAACGACAGTTATTTATTCCAAATATCCGTTGAAAAGGGCTTGGACACTCACAAGGAGATGGACAGCCGCCTGGCCAGCAATCCTGAAAAGCAATTCCTCAAATTATTTCTTCGAATCTCCATAGACGTCGGAAGAAATCAGCACTCTTCTGCATATTTCACGTGTCTAAATAAACGTAAACGTCGTAAAAACATAAAAATCAACACGTCCACTTATTTTTTTAATACATCCCGCTGTGTTTCGTTTTTTCTTGTAGTGTGGACTAATCAAAAGTGTTCACGCAAGCAGTCGCTGGGAGAAATATGTAGATCTCGTTGTGAAACTGGAACGTAGATTGACTGGCACCCATTTCTCACAATGGTTGCCTTAAATATACATCAATCTGAATGAACATCCAAGTCAAGAAGCTTCGCTAATTTTTACATACGAGAAACTCTGTATATATACGCAGCCACAATAGGCAGCCTTTAATTAAAATACGTGGCTTTTATTGAATGCTCGTAAAGCACGTGCTTAATATTTCGACGGAATTCAGTCATAAGCTGAAATTTCTAAGTAGGAAACATGACGTTTTTTAACACTTGATGGCCTCGAAAGATTTTACGCCGCCCGCAGTTTGTCAGTCATCTTCAGTACGAGATAGCTAGCCAAAAGCGCGTTAGCTCTCCTATCATCACCTCTCCGAGCAATCGGACTTCCTTGGCGTAACTTCAACAATGAGCTGAAGCTGTTCAAAGGCCTATTCATCGAACAATTCTACCGTTAAAATAAATAAGCTTCTCTCATACAAAATGCTGATCAGGCGGACGCCATCAATAGAGTTCAATACATGGTGTACACAGCAGCGCATTGGTTTACTGATAGCTGTAGATGGCTGCTCTTCTTTCTCGTCAGGAATGACGACGAAGTGTCTCTTTCATGGAACGATTGTACCCCTGTCTCAATTTTTTTTTCGGCCAATTTTGGGAGCCCCTACTCCTCCTTGCGAGAATGAATGAAGGAGCCTCTCAGCATCTCCGATGTGGAAACCACTACGTCCGGCAGTGGCTAGGAAACGTGTGACCACCTCAAGCGGTAGAGACAGCGATGCAACGAGGTTATATTCAGACGGCTTCGAATCAGTTTCTTATGACTACACAGTCGTCATGAGCCACAGTGCAAAAAGGAGACTCCTACGAACATCGTCAATGGCGAGTTTTTCCACCGAGCTGGCTAACCCGCAGCGTTGGCTGCACACTATACTCTTTATGGGTGTGGACCCTTCAGCCAACATACGGCGGCTTAACAGGCAAGTCGCCTCTGCATATCTCGAAGTACTCGCTCTAACTCAGATTAAAGACGTCCGGATCAACTCACGGAAGAATGTTCTGGCAATTATGTTCTACACCATAGTGCGCTGCAAAGTCTACAAAACATCACGAAAATCGACAGAGTCGCAGTTAAATCAGTGATCTCCACAGAGTGTAAGGGCAGTGTTGGCGTCATTTAAGATGTAAACATTTCCATTCCCGCTGACAATTTTCTTGTCTTGATAAAGCCAACTACAGACGACATCCTTATAGAGCGCATCGCAAGGCTCGGTCAGTCACGTTGCCTGAAGATTTTTTTGAGGGAGACAGTCTTCCTCCATACGTCAAAGCTGGCCACGTTCGCCACCGGGTCCGTTCATACATACCAAACCCCTGCAATGCCACAGATGTTTAAAGATGGGACATGTAAACGGAGTATGTAGCAGCAATGGTGTGTGCCCGCAGTCTGCCGAACCTCATTCAGAAGACACCTGCCTCGCAACTGCGTTCAAATGCTTCAACTGCCACGGCACTCATAAAGCGTCATCTATAGATTGCCTGCAAGTTTGAAATGAGCGCGCAGTGCTGAATCGCATGGTGCGCGACAATGCAATGCCCAGATAAGTGCTGCTACTGTCCGGCGACGTCGGCATCACCACAGAATATCATCACGAAATGTCACATCTGCTATAGAGACACACCACCTCCAGCAAAAACAATTGGTCACCGCTCATCAAGCCCTGCAAAGATGGATACAGAGAGAACAAAAGCAGTGTCAGCACTCCCACCTCGTAAAGATTGGCCTTCCCTTCCACGAATACAGCCTGATTCAGAGGTGCACCGAGTCCCGCCAATCTCAATGCCCTCGTAAACCACTGATGGAAAGACAACTGGGGATCGCCAGGTCATTAACATGTTGCAGACCCTTATGAGCGCAATGGACATGCTCTTAAGCAACATGAACACCCCTTCAGCGCAGAGCGCCCTGCAAGTGCTGGACAATTTGAACCCAGTGCTTGCAGCCATAAGGTGAAACTGTAGCCCACGACATGTTATCCTTTCGAGAGAATATCAAGAACGCATCTGTTCTTCAGTGGAATGCCAGAGGGCTCAGGGCGCGTATGTCCGACTTCCAGTGATATGTATTCACGAACCAGTTCTCTTTATTGTGATTTGTGAACCGACACTGTCAGCTCACATCACACTGTCTGGATATGAGTGCTTTATGCCTTCTACTCGCGGAGAGTGCAGCGAGGTTGTTCTGCTCATACGGCGCGACTTTACTTATGTTAATCACCCGGTACCCCCTGACGATGAAAACCAGTACGTTTGTCGAACAGTAAAAATAAGACGACCACATTTTACAATCATCGCAGCCTAATTACCTCCATCAAGTCGTCTAGACTGTGAGCGCTTGCGCGGAAATTTGAATTCGACTCTCGAGCCATGGGTGATAACTGGCGACTTCAATGCCAACCACTACTTGTGGAGAAGCTCCAAGGTCAACACTAAAGGTTGACAGTTAGGGTCTTTCGCTTCTGAATGTGAACAGCGAGGTTGTTCTGCTCATACGGCGCGACTTTACTTATGTTCATCACCCGGTACCCCCTGACGATGAAAACCAGTACGTTTGTCTAACAGTAAAAAATAAGACGACCACATTTTACAATCATCGCAGCCTAATTACCTCCATCAAGTCGTCTAGACTGTGAGCGCTTGCGCGGAAATTTGAATTCGACTCTCGAGCCATGGGTGATAACTGGCGACTTCAACGCCAACCACTACTTGTGGAGAAGCTCCAAGGTCAACACTAAAGGTAGACAGTTAGGGTCTTTCGCTTCTGAATGTGAACTTATCCTCGGGAATGACGGCAGCTGTACATAATTGCGTGGATCGGCGTATAGTAGCTACCTGGACCTAACTTTCGTCTCACGCTCGTTCGCCAAAAGAGTGCACTGGTTTTCGGACTTGAAAACAAGGGGTAGTGACCACATACTAACATACCTGAAGACTGACGGCTTTTCAAGTCTCAATTCCTTCAGAGTTGTCCAGTGCGCCGATAGGCAAAAATACAAGTTAATCATGGAAAGACTATGTTGTTAGCTTACAACCTTCAACCTACAGTACGCAATGAAGAGTGCCCTACCGTCCACCACGCGTTCGCTTCCGGTGAGCTCATCTCGCAGTGATATGGACATTGGTCTTGAGAAACTCCAAGTGATTCGTCGTCGTCGTGCAGAACGACTTTATAGACGCACGAACTCATTTGATGATCTGAGAGTGGCCTGATGCAGACAAAAGAAAATACAGCGTCAGATGGACAAGTTGGATACGTGAAAATGGGTATCTTTTTGGAGTCTTTGGATCCCAGAAAGCCTCTGTCACTAATCTGAAGAACAGTCCGGGGTCTTCATACAACCATTACTCAGCGCTACCCATTTATTCTCTGGCACTTCACCTACGCTGCGAAGAGATTGATGTCACATATTCTTTCTGTTGAAGGATTGCCTGCGAGGCAAATTCAAGTGGGACGAGGACGCCCGACTTCTTTGCATCCTCGCGTGATCCCCGAATGTAGTGTTCGTTTTCAGTGGAAGAGCTAAAGGCTGCGCTTGCTTTATGTAGACGTTCTTCCGTCCCAGGACCTTACGGCATCATCTACCGTGCTCTATGTCAACTAGAAAATCAAGTTCGGAAGGCACCCTTGCTGCTTTAAAACGACTCCTGGCGAAACGGCATGGTTCCACAGGAATGGAATTCAAGTCGCATGATTTCACATCTCAAAGCCGGCAAGTCACTTTTGGACATTTCCTCTTACTGCCCTATCGCCCTCGCGAGCTGTGTGGGAAATGTTATGGAAAGGATAATTTTAACTCGTCTTGAATGTTACTTGGAGTTCTGCGAACTATATCCAGCTGTCATCGCTGGATTCAGACGCAGCCGCTCATCAATTCACAATGCAGTTGACTTGGTGACATGTGTAGAGCACCAGAAGGCCTGCAAACGGTTATCTGCTGCTCTGTTTTTTGAAGTTGAAGGGGCTAACGACAATGTCACCCACGAAGCCATTCTTAGCACATGAGAAGGAGTAGGACTTGGTGGCAAGATATATATGTGACTTCAGAGCTACCTACAGAATCGGCTGTTTCACGTGCAGACAGAGAACAGCCCGATGCCCGAGTATTACTGTAGCCGAGGAGTGCCGTAAGGCGGAGTGCTGATGGATTGATTGATTTGTGGGGTTTAACGTCCCAAAAACTACCATATGATTATTTATTTTATTTATTTATTATTTACAGATAATGCTGGCTCATGTTCGAGACCTTGCAGGAGTGGTTACAATAAACGAACAAAAACAACACAAATAAAAAACATAAGATTACATAATTAGACACCTGTTCATCAAACAATAAATAATCAAACAAAAGGAACAACAGCAAAACTAGGAACATCCAAAACATAATTGCACACTTGTTCAACAAACAGTGCATGCGGTAGTCGTTTCAAAGTAGTGTCCAGATTTTTCCAAGTGTCAAGTGTGCACGGAAAAAATGAGTATTTATAACAATCAATAAACATCTGAATGGTACAGTGTTCAACGGATTGTATGGGCGAGTCACCTCGGTAGGATGATTGGTGAGCAAAATGGGTGTGGCTATGCGGACGGAATTGTGCACGATGTTATGTAGCATAGTAAGCCGATCACACAAAGGTCTGTGTTCTAAAAAGTTTAGCGATAAAGCATGGTAGTGCTCAGAAGGGGAGAAGTCACGGTCATAACGGCTAAAAATGA